CTCCAGGCACATTTGTACTCCTTCTGCCCTTTTCCAGGCCCATTGAAGGCCATCAAAATACAGGTTGCACCTGTCGGGACTCAGGCTGGAGCCGGCCAGGCACCCAGGAGTCAGCCTGCCCCTGAGGTTGTGGGAGGAAAAGCACCAAGTGCAGCCTGAAGACTTTGATTCCAGGTCTCTTATCCCTCTGCGAGGGAGCTAACTCCAGGGCAGTTGAAGGAAAGGTCAGTTCCTTCTGCAGCTTCTCCTTCTTCTCAATTTCTCTCTTGTCTAGCTCCCCAGCTGAGCAGAGCTGAGCAGTGCTAACCTGTGGAGAAGTCCAGACAAGCTAGAAATCTGCCCAGATACTGGGAAGGGAATTTCTCAGATGAGGTTCAACCTGTCAGGTCCTGTCAAAGTCCCAGGCTATGAGCTTAAGGATAACTGCCTCATGGTCCAGTTTGAAGGGCTGATTTCTCCTGACATCCTTACCCATGCTTTTCTAACCTGACTCCACATCTCCAGAAAGTTGCAGCTCACCTCTTCCCCTTCCTGTTCCAGCAGTGCTCTCAGAGAGACCGAGGCTTCATGTTACAGATCAGGAAGCAGAAAGGGAGTGGCTACATCTGTGTTTGAATCCCGGCTTTGCACACTGATGAGTTGTGTGGTCCTGGGAAAATGTCTTGCCTGCTCTGAATGTTAGTTTTTACACCTGTACTTTAGTTATGAAAGATTTTACACTATCAGGTCCCCTGATGGGTTGGGAATTAGTTGAGTAATCTGCTTCAATTTTTTTTTTTTTTCCAAGACAGAGTCTTGCTTTGTTACCCAGGCTAGAGTGCAGTGGTGCAATCTCAGCTCACTGCAACCTCTGTTTCCCAGGTTCAGGTGATTCTCCTACCTCAGCCTCCCGAGTAGCTGGGATTACAGGCACCTGCCACCACGCCCGGCTAATTTTTGTATTTTTAGTAGAGATGGAGTTTCACCATGTTGGCTAGGCTGGTCTTGAACTCCTGACCTTGTGATCTGCCCACCTTGGCCTCCCAAAGTGCTGGGATTACAGGCATGAGCCACTGCACCCAGCCAATTTGCTCCAATTTTAGAGAACAAGGTTGGAAGACTTCCTCACACACAACCTCAGGAATCAGGGCAAGGAATCCATCTGAACACCTCATGCTCACAGCCAATTGTTCCTGTATTGCGCACTGGTCCTGGCTCCACCCTGAATTAAGAAGTCATGATGTAGGCCGGGTGCGGTGGCTCACGCCTGGAATCCCAGCACTTTGGGAGGTCGAGGCTGGTTGATCACTTGAGGTCAGGGGCTCGAGACCAGCCTGGCCAACACCGTGAAACCCCTTCTCTACTAAAAATACAAAAAACGTAGTTGGGCGTGGTGGCACTTGCCTGTAGTCCCAGCTACTTAGGAGGTTGAGGCAGGAAAATCGCTTGGTCCTGGGAGGTGGAGGTTGCAGTGAGCCAAGATCGCACCACTGCACTCTAGCCTGGGCGACAGAGAAAGACTCCATCTCAAAAAAGAAGAAGAAAAAAAAAGAAGCCATGACTGAGGTCTAGACTACTAAGTCATTGTCCCTTCAGCACGTGGCCATTGGCATTGCCTGCTTAAACTCCAAACTGTGAGGGTTGGCATGGTTTGTGAAATATGCTGCAGTATGTAGCAATCGCGTATCTTTTGGAGGGAGCTTAAGGAACTGCTACTCCCATCAACTCCATGTGATGGAATTGCTTTTGTCCTCAGAAGCAGATGAGTGGGCTCTCTAAGATGAGCTGGGATATCCCATAATTTGAGAAAAAAGCTGTCCGTGTCCCCAAACCAAAGCACCAGCAGATAAAGAAGGCACTATTGTCCCAACAGGTTGACTCCAGGCTTTCCTGCCTGATCGGGTCAGAAGCTCTCTGCTGGTGCTAGTGGAGAAGACCTGAGCGGCACAGGCTTCTACCTAGATTTTGTGGGGATAGCACGCCACCTGGATCTGACAGGTGGAGCTCACTGTTGCTCGATGGTCGGGGGAAAGAAGGCAGGGAATTTAGCTGCTATCCTGCTGTGGCTGACCATACTTTCCAATAGGCCAGGCCTGAACCTCAGGGTCTGCCTGTGACCCACCAGCCATGCCACGCTCAGTCCTGTCTGCTGGGATGTCTGGGCATGAGCCCAGCACAGTGGGCGGTTATCGTGGAGATAGAAGACATGTGCTCCCTGCCAAAGGCCAGTTTCAGGAAACTGATGAGACCTCTGCTCTTATTCGGGATCTCTGAACATCCAGTGGTAGGGACAGCTAGTCTTGCTAACAGAATCCTTCCTTTCTTAGGGTCTGACACCATCTCAGTGATGGTGGACATCATAATGATCTCGGGGGATACAACAGGACCTGGTTCTGTTGTGCAGAAGTTGATTGCTCATCTCTGGTCCCCTCACTCCCAGACCAATGACCAGAGGGAGAACTTGAACTGGTTTCTAGAAGGGCCCCACAGAGGCAATGCTTAATGCAAGAGCACCCCCTCCTTTTCACTCCTCTTATCCCACCTGCTCATTCCACTAAGAATGGTTGTTTCCCGCCTGGTTTTTGGAGTTCCTGAGATGCACGATCAGGAACTGGGTGGTAAGAGGAGTCTGACGTTTGTTGAACAAAAGCTGAGCTTCTGCATACCTGGATCTTGAGAGGCAGAGATGCTGGCTTTTGGAAAAGTGCCGTGGCTCCATATCTGAACCGTTTCATGTAACTTGACAGACACAATATGGGGAGTCCTCTGTGATTATTATTTGACAGCTGAGTACTTTTGAAAATATGTGATTTGGCCAGGTGCGGTGGCTCATACCTGTAATCCCAGCACTTTGGGAGGTCGAGGTGGATGGATCACCTGAGGTCAGGAGTTCGAGAGCAGCCCGGCTAATTTTTGTATTTTTGTGGAGATGGAGTTTCACCATGTTGGCCAGGCTAGTATCGAACTCAGGTTATCTGCCTGCCTCGGCTTCCCAAAGTGCTGGGATTACAGGCGTGAGCCGCTGCACCTGGCCAGATTTCTTGGTTTCAAGTAACAGACATCAACTCTGGATATCTTAAGCATACGAGAGTACTGGGAATATATCTTGCCCCCACAGAATCGGTGTGAGATACGCCCATAAACCAAGGGGGCTCTGCAGGGCTGTTCTGTCTAATCATGGTCCTGAAACAGTTTGCTGCACCAGGACGAGCTGGTATCTCGATGGCACCCATGTGATTCTGTCATTCACTCTAGTAAAATTTCTGGAGACATAGGTCCCTAAGCCTAAATTGTGGACCCTTCCCATGGCTGCCCTGGGACTTGGAGAGTGAGATTGACACCTGTGGCCCCTGCAGAGACGCTGCCCACTGACTCGAAGTTCACATCCAGTGGGCTACAGGGTCAGTACCTTACGCTGTTTGTGTGTGATCATTTAGTATTCTTGTTTCTTGTGTGGGTTTTCAGCAAAAGTAATTGTAAAGTTTCGGTCCTCTCTGAATGCGGCTGGAGAGAGCTGTGTCTTTTCTGCTCCCCACTGTCAAAGTTAGAGCAGCATCTCCACCAGGCTGGAGTGACCATGGCCTTAGAAACTGCAAGAAAAGCGTTGGGGTGTTTAGCCTTTTTTGAGCTTTGGATCCTTTTGACATCTGGTGACAGAATATCTGCTTTTTCCCTTCACCCAGTTTGCTCTTTTATTTTCTATTTTTATGTTAATTTCACTGCATTTATATTGTTTTGTGAACTTTTGCAATGTCCTTCCCTGTTTTTTTTTTTTCTTTAATACGGGGGTGGTTTGAAATGAGCACGTGCAGCTGGTCTGATGCCACAGGCCCACTGCAGACACACTCACAGACCCAAAGGGATGAGCTAAAGCATGGTGCCCTCGGAGGCTTGCCTCGTGGACCGTGATGATCTCTGGTTTTTCTTCTTTGCTGGAATTTGGGGGATTGATGTTGAGGCTGGGCTCTGAGCAGTCAGCTCCCCCCTGCTTAGCATTCAGTGCAGGCTGTCAGCGTGTGCCTGCCAGGCACGTTCGTGGAGAAGGGAGCTCCTGAAACTCAGCTACCCTTCTCTTTTCTTAGTAGAGAATGAGGAGGGTCTCAATGCAGACCCGAGGCCTCTGCCTCCAGGTGGAACCCTGGAGCGGATGGTGAGGACGTGCTGTTGGACAGTCCTGCCCGGCAGACAGCTGCACATTTGGAATGGGTGTATGGTCCAGTGTGTCACTGCAGTGGTGAAAGTAGCATGTTCGGTGTGTGGGATTTTAGGGTGACACTGACCGTGACTCATGAAAGCCACTGAGTACAGAACCAGGAAAGCAACTTGGCAACCAGAAGCGTGATGGCTTTAAACCACAGGATGAGCGTTGAGGGGCTTGCCATTTGAGGGGTCTAGTTGGATTCTTGCCTCCTCATTGGAACCACAATCTGGCTAGAATCTCATACTTACTAACAGAGAGGTGGTGCAACTTTACACTCAAGACAATGCGTGCAGACTGTCTGGGTTTAATCCCAGGACTAACTCTTGTCGTGTGACCTTGGAACATATTCTTCATCTGCAAAATGGGAGAAATTGTAGATTTTATTGCGTGGAGTAAGTTACCTAATAGATGAAAATCACTCAAATGTGTGCCTGGTGCATGGTTAGCTCGTTTCTATGCCCAGAATATATCATCGCTTGGGCCTGTGCACTTGTATTAATCCATCGAATTTTATTATTATTATTTTTTGAGATGGAATCTTGCTCTGTTGTCCAGGCTGGAGTGCAGTGGCACGAGCTCAGCTCAATGCAACCTCCGTCTCCCAGGTTGAAGCAATTCTCCTGCCTCAGCCTCCCCGAGTAGCTGGGATTACAGGCCCCCACCACCAAACCCAGCTGATTTTTGTATTTTTAGTAGAGATGGGGTTTCACCGTGTTGACCACACTGGTCACCAACTCCTGACCTCAAGTGATCTGCCTACCTCAGCCTCCCAAAGTGTTGTGGTTACTGGCGGGCGTGAGCCACTGTGCCTGGCCTGAATTTGAATTCGAAAGAGGAATGAGTGATTGGGGATGGGAGGGTAGGAAAAATAATAGGGGATGCATTTCATGGCAGTGCTCCCTTTACAAAATGCTTCTGGAATTTTGCCAGTAAATTATCAGAATCTGGTCCTCATTTGCTGCCCATGGCTCACTTACAAGCTCTCAGATCCTTACACACAGATTAGGAGTTTAGTACTTTGAGCCATTCACACATCTTTTTAATGAGACCATGGCTCTTTGGCTTGTGGGGGTTGAAAACGTGTCATATTTTTACAGCAAGACAGAATATTGTGGCAGAACGCAATCCACTGGTATCCTGGCGGACACCCGAAGAAACATATGGCTTTCCGGCTAGTGCAGGTGCGGACTTTGACTCCATCATTCCCAAACATACCTTTTCCTGATGTGGGGAGAGACCACAGAAAAGAAACATCAATCTTCATGAGGCTGGGAGAAATCCTAGGCCTGCCAGCACCTCCTGGTGGATGGTTTGTTAGTTGTGATTCACCTCATCTCTGATCACATCTCGGCAAGGCAGATAACGCTCAGGGTAGCCAGAGGCATTGGAGGGGAGATAGGAATTTGGGTTGCTGCATGATCTGTGTGCACAGTGACATCCACTCCCCTCCCCGGTGCCCTGGCAGATCTTGCGGCTGCAGCAGCATCGGAGCAGGGCAGGAGCAGTCTGCTCACTGTGCCCCTGACCTGCTGGCCCATCTGATATTGGTGTCCTGTTGCTGGGCTTATCGTTAGAGGGTTTTTAAAGCATCTCAATCTTTGGGAACCCCCACTTTTATGTTCAGACCCACACCCACTGTTTTACCTGAAGGCAGTAAGATCACCAGGAGGAGGAGTAACACAGAAAGATGGAGGTTCATGGCCGAAGAGGGCACAGAGCTGAAACTCCCAGTGGTGGCTGCCTGAGAGGCTCCTTTATAGAGCTGGGCTGGGCTGGGTGGGGCTGGACGCTGGCCTCACTCTTCCTGGAGGGGCTGACTAAGGAGATCACAGGGTTCTGCAGAATTCGAGGGAGAAGAGGCCCTGGGCCATTCAGTGCTACCTCCTTTCCTACAAACCGCAGGAAAAGAAGAGACTCAGCTAAGGCTGTCATGTGTCCTGACAGCAGAACAGGAGAAAAGGCCAGGATCCCCATGCCTAGGCCTGAACACTTTCCCTCTCCCTTCAAGTGTACTTTGATAGAAACATGACAGTGAAAACGTCTGCTCTGTCTCTTCTTTCCTCTGGGGCACCACGGAAAGCTCGGGAGCACAGAGAAAGGGTGTTATGAAACACAGGCTTAACTTAAGCCTGGAAAGGCAGTTCCAAGACACAGAGGCTCTCAAGGTGTCAACCACTGGTCTGACCAGGAGAAGGGGCTCAGAACCAGTGGAGAAGGGACAGCTTCCTTGTCTGGTGGCTGACTTATTTACCTGGCTGAAGGCAGATACTGCAAAAAAAAAAAAAAGAGTCCTGGAAAAGTTCACTGATGGACTGTGTTTTCCAAATGACTGGTAGGAAATGTTGGCTAGGATTAGGGGACTTCGAAGCTTCTAGGAGAGATTTCTTTTTTGGAGTTGAGGAGTTGAAACTCCCCCTTAGAAGAGTTGGTTCAGTGCTGTGTTCAAGGTTGGACGCACAGTGTCCAGAGTGGAGCCAGACACGGCTTCTCTGGAGTGACAGAGACTCAGCCCTGGGGAAGGGCCCTTGGGCCTGTCTCTCTTGGGGTAATGAGGGATGTCTCAGAGTGAAGATGACACTAACTTTGGTTTTGTTCTGACCCTTAAGGCAGGCTTGTACCCAGGCAGCCCACGACCACAGGGCTCTCTGAGTGTGTAGCGTGGCAGTAGAGCATGGTGTTACTGGCTATGCTCTGCTTTGCAGGCTTACACGCTCAGATGCATTATGTAGCATCTCAGCCTCAAGATCTGCTTCTCAAAAAGTGCATTGGAAGCTTTTGCGTGTGTTTTCTTTTTGAGGATGAAATGAGATACAGCTTATAAAATGCTTTGCATGCATACTGCCATACAGTAGGTACCCAATATTATTACTATTATTAATTTTTTTTGAGACAGAGTCTCGCTCATCACCCCGGCTGGAGTGCAGTGGCCCAAACTCGGCTTCCTGCAACCTCCACCTCTTGGGTTCTAACGATTCTCCTGCCTCAGCCTCCGAAGTAGCTGGGACTACAGGTGCCCGCCACCACACCTGGCTAATTTTTGTATTTTTAGTAGAGATGGGGTTTTGCCATGTTGGCCAGGCTGGTCTGGAACTCCTGACCTCAGAGGATCCACTTGCCTCGGCCTCCCAAAGTGCTGGGATTACAGGCATGAGCCAGCCAACCCGGCCAATACAGTAAGCACACATATTCTTAATTTTCTGGTTCTTGCTTACTAATCTTTCCCTACTCCTAGGTTATAAAACTATTTCCTATATTATTTTCTTTTTTCTTTATTATTTTTCTTTCTCATTTAGCTCTATAACCACCTGTGATGATTTCTGTGTATGGTGTAAATTAGTTTATTTTTCCCCCTATGGAAAACCAATTGTTTCAAGACCAAAAATTATTGAAAAGATTGTTGTTTCTCTACTGTCTAGCTGTGCCACCTTTGTTTTAAATCAAGCTCCACATATGCATGAGTCTGATGCTGGAAAACTTCATCCGTTCTACTGTTCTATTTGTCTATAGTTGCACTAATGCCATGCTGCCTTACTGCTATAGCTTTATAATAAGTTAATAAACTTTTGAATAAGATCTATTTATCTATCTACTATCTATCTATCTATTTATCTATCTATCCTTCTATCTATTTATGAGTCTGTCTCCATCAGAGCCAAATCTTCCCACTTACCTTTTTTTTGTGGGTGAGTGTCTTGGCTATTTTTGTTTTTTTTTTTTTTTTCATTTCCATACGGATTTTAGAATCAGATGGTCAAGTTTCCCCAAACAACAGTTCATTATGCTGTTAGTCTTGATTTTTCTCTTTTGTGATGTACAACCTCCTGAATGCCTGTGGGTTGTTGTATTTGTGGACTGAACACATCTTGTATTCATGTGGTAATGAACACTTTACACGAAATGAAGTTGGAAAAGATTCTGCTTCCTAGAGAACAGTGAAAATCCCAAGGACCTGTCTCCCTATCCTATGAATCCCAGAAGATACCAGTGGGTACACAGAGCTCCTATACCTTAACTTCCCTGGTTGATCTCTTGGGCTCAGGGAGCCTGGAAGTGGAGAGGGGTAGTGTCCGGGGCTCTGACCAAGAGCTCCAAGTTTCATAACAGAGTGTAGTAACACAAGGCAGATGATTTAAAGATGACTCACTGCATTTTCCTAGACAATCCTTTTAGAGGATCTTTGTCCTCATACCCAGCCCATTCCTAGAGAGTTCTTGAAGATGCCAACCTTACTGACGGTCAGGGATACACTCCCATGGCCCTGCTTAACTCACACTTATCCCTTTAGGTGGAATCACTTATGTCAAAAGGAAGATCAGAGTCAGTGCAAGGAGGTAGCGTCTCATGTCTGATGAGGGGATCCCAGAGCCTATAATTTCCAGAAGAAGGTGGGGACACCTCTCCCATTGATCTGCGGGGTCACTGGGGCTGTAGTGTGGCTTTACTTTGCCATATAGAACTGATAGGAGAACCGAGGGAAGTTAGAAGGTGAGAGTGAGAATGACTTCCTACATTGCTTCCCACTATTTAAAAACTGGGGGATTTCAACCCAGAAGAATAAAGGGCCTGAACATAACATTCCTCTGGTTCTTCAGGCTACTGGCAAAGCTGGACTTAAATTCTGGCCCTTCTGAGGCTTGCTTCAGGTGTCTCCACTCATTCACCATGTTCCTCTAACTGTATATTAGGATAGGACTTAGAGTGGGGGTTAAAGCTCCGAGAGATGACTTCAGACCAAAACCCAAGCCCAAACCCGAGCAGGAAGAGTCTGTCTGGTTTCATATACCAGTTACTTAGACATGAAATTAATAAAGAAATTACTTTCTGCACCTGGGAAAGTTCAGAGAGAAAAATAAGATCTGGTTGTCCCAAGTGATCAAGAAACGCACCTGCCTGGAAGGGACTGTGTAACCAGGTGAATCAATTTATTACCTTTAGTAGGATTTGATTGCGTTTGATTCTTAGTGCATGCCGCAGTATAGTCTCTGCATGATTTCTTTGGCTGTGAATAGCATCAGTGGTATCTGTAATTCCTCAGTGGCTTGGCTGCAATTGCTAATGGAAGCTATGGTGAGGCTTTGCAGGGGATAGGGATGCCATGTTGGCCAGTCCTCAAGTCCTGGTTGTGGCAATGATGGACCAAGCATGCCTGACTTTGGGTCACTGGGTGGTGTATGTGGGCACCAGTGTTAGCAGGTCCAGGTGGGCCAACTCCAGGCAGATTTCTTGGTACTGGCAGTGACAGTGGAGGACTGGATGGGTGGGTAGGTTCTCAGGTCCCTGGGCAGCATGAATGGTGTGAGTGAGGGTAGCAGTGGTGCAGGATAACACTCGGGCTCCCAGGTGCACTTGCTAATGTTAGTGGTGGCTATGATGGGCTTGGCAGGCTAGTCTCTAGGCTCCTAGTTAACACATGTGGGTGGCTGTGGTTGATGTTGTTGGCAGCAGGCTAGGTGGGCCCATCTTCAGGTCTCTAGGAGGAGTGTACAAGGACCAGAGATGGTGGAATGGATCGGGTAATTCCCAGTCCTCAGATGGGGTGCTCAGTATCTGGGGGCATGATGTCAAGGCCTTGGTGGTGTGCAGGAGTGTAGGCTGTAGTAGCTGGGGCTGAGCGATCTATGGTGGTGAGTGAACAGCCTGACCTCAGAGATTGTGCTAGAGCACAGCAATTCTGCTGGTGGTATGGGCATGGCTGCTCTCAACAGTCCCTTGCAAGGAGTTATCAGGCTCTGGGAGTTCACACTTCCTTTCCAGCAGTAGCAGTAGCTGCCATGGTGTGTATGGGGAGGGAGCCTATACTCAGAACAGACACAAAAGCAGAGAGGATGTGCTTCTGATAGGGATGAGGTTGGTGATCACAGCCCTAAGCAGAAAATTCTCAGGCTCTGAGTAGTGCTTGCTTCAGCTCCTGGCTGCAATGTTGTTCAGAGCAGTGGAGGGATCCTGCCTTCTGGGTGTGAGCTCAAGCACAAAGGCCTTGCTACTGGTGAGGGAGTAGTTGCTATTCACAGACCCAGACAAGCAGCTCCTGGGTTCACTCACATTGGCTGCCAGTAGCAGCAGCAGCAGCAGCTGTAGTGTTGTGCATGGGAGGAAAGGAAGAGACCTCACCCTCTGTGTATGGGCTCCAGCAAGGGGTTGTGCTGCTAGTGAGGGCAGGGTGTTATTTACAGACCCAGAGAGGCAGCTCTCAGGCCAACTTGTTTTGACTTTTGGCAGTACCAGTGGCTGCTGCAGTGGCCTAGGGGGTGAGCCCAAGCATAGATGTCATTCTACTGGTGGGGGCAGGGTTGCTTCTCACAGTCCCAGACAGGAGCTGTCAGGCTCTGAAAAGCTCACAGTGGGACTCCCTTTGTCCCTGGGACAGTCTCCTGGGTGCACTGCACCATCCTTTCCCTAGGGAGTAGTAGTCCACTTGGGCTAGAGTGCTGGGGACTCTGTAGCACCACTGGGTTCATCCAGTGCGAGCCACTGCAGCCATCTGGGTGGACATCAGGGGATATCAGTCGGGGTTCTCCTCTGTGGAGATGTGGGGCCTGTTGGTTCCCAGGACAGAATTCAGTCTGGTGGAGGCTGGGCTCTTGCAATAGCACTGTGCTGCAGCCGCTTAGATCTCAGGGGATGTGTATAACTCAACATGACTTCCCTGTGTGGAGCAATGCCCTTGAGCGGTATCCTGATCACCACCCACACTAATCTCAGGGCCCACGTGGGAAAAAAAGCCCTCCTGTTGCTAGGGTTACAGTAGTCTGAGATGGAGATGTGAACCAGTGAGTCTCTCACTTACCTTTTCCCAGCAAATGGGAGCCACTCCAGGCTCCTAGCCAATCCACATCCTTCTCCTTCTATGCCTCAAGTGTTTCCTGTGACTTCTCTGTTGAACTCTGGAGTTTTCTCATAGATGTTCTATCTTAGGTGTAATTCACAATTTTGTTTCTTTT